TGGATTTCACCACTGATTTTGAGGGTCCTAATGATGAGCGAATAACCCTAAGGGGGCTGCGTTTTGTGACTGCTGCTTTTTTCTAGGTTAAGAATAGGTAGTCCTCAACTTACAACGACTGTTTAGTGACTGTTCAAAGTTACGACGACACTGGAAAATGTGAGTTACGAGACCGTTTTTCACACTTACGACCTTCGCACCATCCCCGTGACCATGGGATCAAAATTCGGATGCTTGGCAACCGGTTCGTATTTATGACCATTGCTGTGTCCCAGGGTCATGTGATTCCCTTTAGCGACCCTCTGACAGGCAAAGTCAATGGGGGAGCCAGATTCACTTAACGACGGGGTTACTTAACGAATCAACTGCAGTGATTCACTTAACCACTATGGCAAGAAAGGCTATAAAATGGGGCAAAACTCACTTAACAAGGGTCTCACTTAACAACAGACATTTTGGGTCCCACTGCGGTCATAAGTCAAGGACTACCTGTATTCAGGGCCATTTACTTCAATGGGCAGAGAAGAAAGTGTCATGAGATGCACACAGACTAACCCAGGGGGTCATGTTTGGCAGGTTGAAACTGAAAAAAATCTTTTTCTAAAGTTTTCGGTAATAAACTTTTCTATTCTTTTCTGTAGTAACAGAATAACAGAGTTGGAAGGGACCTGGTAGGTCATCTAGTCCAGCCCCCCGCCAGAGCAGGAGACCCTACACCCTTTCTGACAAATGGCAGTCCAATCTCTTCTTGAAAGCCTCCAGTGATGAAGCTCTCACAACTTCTGAAGGCAACGTCTGTTCCGTTGGTTGACTGCTCTCACTGTCAGAAAATTCCTCCTTATTTCCAGGTTGAATCTCTCCTTGGTCAGTTCCATCCATTATTCCTTGTCTGGCCTTCGGGTGCTTTGGAGAATAGCTCGACCCCCTTCCTCCTCTCTGTGGCAGCCCCTCAAATATTGGAAAACTGCTCTCATGTCTCCCCTGGTCCTTGTCTTCATTAGACTCGCGATGCCCAGTTCCTGCAACCGTTCATCATATGTTTTAGCCTCCAGTCCCCTAATCCTCCTGGTTGGTCTTCTCTGCATTTTTTCTAGGGTCTCACCATCTTTTTTTATAGTGTGGTGACCAAAACTGGATGCAGGACTCTAGGTGTGGTCTTACTAAGGCTTTATAGAGTGATATTAGTACCACGTGTGATTTTGATTGAATCCCTCTGTTAATGCAATTTAGGATTGCATTGGCTTTTTTGGCTGCCGCCGCACACTTTTGGCTCATATTTGATTGGTTGTCCATAAACTAAAAGGAACTTAACTTTTTTTCCCCCCTTGGCTATTGTGTACTTTGATAATAGAAGTTGTGTCAAGCACAAAGAATCAGGGCCACCAGTTAGGTGGCAGCATAAAAGATTTATTCACACCTATGCGCCTCGGTGATGAGCCTTGGTGGTGCAGCGGACTAAGTGCTGTTAAGCGCTAGCACTTAGCCGCCAGCTGCCTGCAATTAGTGCGAGTTCGAATCTCACCAGGCTCAAGGTTGACTCAGCCTTCCGTCCTTTCGAGGTAGGTAAATTGAGGACCCGGATTGTGGGAGCAATAAGCCAGCTTTGTATAGAACAACACCGCTTGGGGGGGTGGGGGCGAAAGCCCTAATAAGCAGGTATATACAAAAAAAAGTATGCAGGCTATTGCTATAATGCATTGTAAGCCGCCCTGAGTCTACGGAGAAGGGCGGCATATAAATTGGACTGATAAATAAATAAATAAATAATATGCACAAGAATCCGGCTCATTAAAATTCAACACTAAATTGGTGCCAGATAAGGGTTAATGGAATTCAGGAGGGCTTAGACGCAATGACTCTAAAATTATGACATGTTTGCCCTCTCAATTCTGCCTGCCTTACTCCTACAAGGAGTAAACTCATCTCCAAAATCTAAACAGAGTCAGATCTGCTCAGTATTTGGATGACGTTTTCAGTTACATTAAAGTGCGTATTTCATCCTTACCAGGAATTGTGTGACATAGGTAACCAAATATCTTACTGGGAACTGTATTCAGGGAAGATTGGGTTTTAGACATTTAGCAATAGCAATGGCACTTAAATTTATATACAGCTTCACGGTGCTTTTACAGCCCTCTCTAAGCGGTTTACAAAGTCAGCCTATTGCCCCCAACAATCTGGGTCCTCATTTTACTGACCTCGGAAGGATGGAAGGCTGAGTCAACCTTGAGCTAGTTGGTCAGGATTGAACTGCAGGCAGTGGGCAAAGTTAGCCTGCAATACTACATTCTAGCCACAGGGAGGGAGGGAGGGAGGGAGGGAAGGAAGGAAGGAAGGAAGGAAGGAAGGAAGGAAGGAAGGAAGGAAGGAAGGAAGGAAGGAAGGAAGCAAGGAAGGAAGGAAGGAAGGAAGGAAGGAAGGAAGGATAATATACTGTTTTTAGTCCACCTTCCCTTAAGCTCTCAGAGCAGAGAGATACAGAGGTGACATTATGTCATGCTTCCGTGCAGGAGGTTTTACCCAACTTCTGGCCTCTCTCGGATATACGCTTCTAAAAATAGAAAAATGCTCTCCCTCCCCCCCCTCTAAAACCCAGCACATGGGAGCATGACCTAAAGCCAAATCTGTATCTCTCTTTTATAAGAACCTAAGGAAAAGTATACTCCATAAACCAGAGATTCTCCAAGCTTAATGATTCTGAGTTGTATAAACTTCAGCTCCCAGAATTCCATGCTGGCTGGGGAATACTGGGAGTTGAAGTCCACCCATTGTAGAGTTGCTAAGGTTGAAAAACCATTCTGATAAGAACTTGGTTGTGGGGGAAGTGTGCAGAGAATCTCATAAGTATACAGTAATCTAGACTGGGACATTTTTAAAAGTTCCAGAAGAAAGCCTCTGAGTAAATCAGTTACGAATTACAGCCAAGAGATCTTTGCGGATCTGAATATGTTAGATGTGTCCATTTACTGTGCTCAACTTAAGGGAGACTTTAATTTTATTGGCTATTATAGGAAAAAAGCTGGTGTGGTTTTTTTTTTAATGATAAATAGAATGCACATGAGTCAGAGGGCAAAGCATCTGTAGATTAGAAAGACTCAAGAAAGGGACTCGTGGAAACATAAAATCATAGGGCTAGAAGAGATCATGGAAGTCTTCTAATTCAAATCCCTGCCCAAGGGCAGGAGACTTTTATATATGTGCCAGGAGAACTCTTGGGTAATGAGTTTAGGGTGGCTGGTTCATACAGGCTAAATCCTAAATCTGGGTTAAGCAAGTACCATTGCTGGGTTGAAATGCCAGGGAGAAGCCCCATCTTGGCTTAAGTGCAGGAATGGCTTAACATGATAAGGATACCATGGTTGAACTTCAACCATATTTTAACTTTGCTTAGTGTGTTATGCAATGCAATAAGCATATATATATAAGGAGGACAGATATATATGCGGGCCTATCAAATATGAACTGCTATGGACAAGAAATTAGGAGGGGGTAAATTAGGAGGTTGTAAGGTAAAAGGTAAAAGGTAAAGGTTCCCCTTGCACATATGTGCTAGTCGTTCCCGACTCTAGGGGGTGGTGCTCATCTCCGTTTCAAAGCCAAAGAGCCAGCGCTGTCCGAAGACATCTCCGTGGTCATGTGGCTGGCATGACTAAATGCCAAAGGTGCATGGAACGCTGTTACCTTCCCACCAAAAGTGGTCCCTATTTTTTCGACTTGCATTTTTTACTTGCTTTCGAACTGCTAGGTTGGCAGAAGCTGGGACAAGTCACAGGAGCTGACCCCTTTACGTGGCGCTAGGGATTTGAACCACTGAACTGCCGACCTTTCGATCGACCAGCTCAGCGTCTTAGCCACTGAGCCACCGTCTCCCTACCATCTGCTACCATCTAAGATAGCAATGAGAAAATGAAAACTCTCGAGGATTTGCTGAGGAAGATGAATATCCTTGAGCCTTTTTAAGCTGATCTCTAAACCAGCATCTGTGCATTGCCGTGTGAGACACATTTTTTTTTCCCCTTGTCAAACCTGCATTCAATTGGCAAAACTCAATTTCCAGGTCTGCAAAGTGTAAAATAGCTCAGGTAGCGCACTTAAATAGCCATCAAAGACAGGGTAAAACACACTGTAAGTCCCTAAATAAATGCTTGGGGCAATTTTTTTCCTTTTCCTAAAGTCGTTCTATGCAATTAGCAGAACGATTGGACCTACTTAAATATTATTTAATTTACCCAATGTACTCTGATCGCTTAAGTTTGCAACGATGGTGTCAGTGAGAAGCGGCTTACATCCGTTGCAACTTTCTTTGCCCCCCACCCCCGAGAAAAGTAGCTTCAAAGGATGCAGCTTCGATCTGTTTTTAGCTAATGTTTTAATCTTTAGAATCCAGATGTGGAATTGAGGTTGCTTCAGTTTCCTTTGAGTTTCCTTTCCTCCCTGAGCCTCACTCAACCTCGGCTATACAACGGGAGTAATCTTTGGGTATGTCTAGTCTAGTGAAAAGAAGGACTAGGGGAGAGATGATAGCAGTGTTTCAATACTTGAGGGGCTGCCAAAAAGAAGAGAGGAGGGGGGGGTAATCTATTATCCAAAGCTCCTGAAGGCAGGACAAGAAGCAACGGATGGAAACTTATCAACGGGAGATCAAACCTAGAAAAAAAGGAGAAATTTCCTGATACTGAGAACGGTGGAATGACTTGCCTTCAGAAGTAGATCTGGAGGCTTTTAAAAAGAGACTGGACAACTATTTTTCTAGACTAGTATATAGGATTTCCTGTTTGAGCAGGGTATTGGACCAGCAGTCCTCTAAGTTGCTTCCATCTCTGTTACTCTATGTTCTATGTTTGTACTTCAAACCTTTTAAAGAGGTTGAGCAGTTAAGAGATTGCACAAGGGACCTAAAGCAATGAAAAATGGGATGATGTAATCTCTCTGGAGCCCATTGCTTGGAGAGATAAACCAGGAATTCAAAGGCAAAGAGAAAGAAAGTGATTACAACTTTCTGAAAAGCTTCAACAAACATAAATCATTTAATTTTTTAAATTCAGATGCATCAGGGCTCATGTTTCTTAAACATACATCGTGAAATTTACTTTGCATATGCTCAGAATTATCTCGGTTTTTACAGCATTTGAAGGCTGGTATTTAGGAAAAAAAAGATTCTGAAAATAATCTTCATTGGAATTTATTTTAAAGAAGACGTATTAGTGTTTCATCTTATAACGTTCATCTATTACAATAAACAAAAAAGATATTTCATTTTGTTTAAAAAAAAAGTTTTCTGTTCTGAAACATCAAATGTTAGGGTTGATCTGGCACTTCAAAGGAAAGAAGTTTTTAGGAAATTGAAAACCAACTTCGCTTGCCAAAACAAAGCATTTCAAAATCAAGAACAATGTATATCAACTTCATAATTTATTTGTTCCACCATGCAGCATATGCAATAAATTAATGCCCATTATTACAGCATCATCATCATCATCATTCACATAGCTTATTAACTTGTTAAGTTCATTACTATGGTAGAAATAGTAAAAAAAAAAGTGAATGTGATGTCTCATCAAAGAGACTTTCATAGTTCAGGAAAGTCAGGAGGAAACTTTTTAAAAAAAAAAAAAAAGTTTGTGCAACTCGTTTTAAGAAATGGAAGAGAAAACAGGATTGCTTCACACCGTCCTGAAAAAATGTTCTATCTCAGAAAAATAGTTGACTTGCAGACAGTGCATTTTTAGCAAATGCAAATGGATAAACGCGGATTGCTGCCTGATCTCCTGTGATCCCAGCAGGGGAGAGAAAAGCACCTTATGGAAGGTTTTGCACAGTCGGTAAACACATGTCCGGAAAGACTGTCAGGCAAGCAGACAGTTTAGTCCAGGAGAAAAATCACACAGAGTCTCTTTCTCCCTCCAGGCTGCCAGAAAAAAAGTTGCAGTTGTCCGTCCCACCACTTTTCCATCCTTTTGTGGCTCAGGATCTGCTGCTTTCGTCGTTTTGACGAGTGACTGACTCCCACTGGAGTGTTCAAGTTTGGAGTCTGCAGAAGAAGCTCACACAACACAGTCAGCGAGAATGGAACAACCCATGACTGATATGTCCAAGCATCCTCCATCTCTGTACCAAGCGTTGGAGATGCTGGCGGGCGAAAAGGATGACACCAGCAGAAGAGCTGTGCAATATATATATTTCTTTTGTTGGTCACCATCTTTCTTTGGTGGCTCTTCAGTGGATTTTGATGGAATGTTTCCCGAACTTCAGAAACTGGAAAAGTTTCTCTCGGGTTCTCTGTTTCAGAGCCATGAGGGATCTGGCTTTCTCCTCCAGATCTTGGTCGGTGGCCAAGATAATCTTAGCTCTTTCTTCTGCTTTCCTGTCGCCAGAGTTTTTGAAGAGCTTTTCCAGAGTCTCTTGATCCAGGTTCTCAAAGATGTTGGGCACTGCTTTCTTACGCAAGGCGGTGTCAAAGCGATAGCCATGAACGGACGGGCTGACTCTCAGGGAGGTGGACATGCTGGCTTGCCACTGGGTTGCTCCTCACCACTTCCAAGGGATGCCGTCGGGTTGGCCTGATGAGTTGATTGCCCGTAGGAAGCCGGTAGAGAACTTCTGGGCATGGCGCTGCTATTTAAAGGCAGCCGAAAGGCTGAGGAGGAAGCTCATGTTACAACGATGACATCACGCCCAGTTCAACATCCAGTAATCAAAGGCCAGCTTAACAGTTGAAGTGCCAGTTTTCTCCTCACTCTCTTTCTCTCTCTTTCTCTCTCTTGAAGAATCACTTCTGCAGGGAAAGAGGGCCAGAAAAATTAATCGCTTGCTTTTATCAACTGAACAAATTTGCTTTGGGAGATGGATGAAAGGCATGTAAAACAAAAAAACAACAAAACAAAAAATGAAGAGAGGCAAAAGTTTCCAAGCAAATCTTTTCTCCGAGTCATTATGCAAGGTATCATTTAACCCTGGTGAAAATTAAGGGATTGTGGAAGGGAAAAAACAGTCTCTTCGTCTGGCCAGCTTAAATTTTGGCACACTTTGATATTTGCTTTAAATATAAAATGCATGAGGACTCCTGTTTACATATGCATTTTGAAGTGCCTTTTCTCGCCGTACGTGGCTTTTTGAAGCATACTTTTTGTAAACAGATGTCTTGGGGTTTTTATAGGCTAGAAAAGTCTCAAAACATTCAGGAGGGACAGAAATCAAGAAATAGCTAATGCTCACTCGAGCCTGACTCCAAGGAACATCAGATATTTGCCACTCCTGGAAAAAGCAAAAAAAAAAAAACCTGGATTTTTCCAGCATCCTAATTAAAATTCAATGATAGTCTTGGATTCCATGTCCTTAAACTCTATTGTAAATATCCCGTATTCACCACAGAATTCCAATGCGGCCTTCCTATTTTGCTGTTTTAAATTTTACAGATTAACAGAGTTGGAAGGGATCTTGTAGGTCATCTAGTCCAACCCCGTCCAAGCAGGAAACCCTACACCACTTCTGACTGAGGGCAGTCCAGTCTCTTCTTGAAAGTCTCCAGGGATGAAGCTCCCACAACTTCCGAAGGCAACTTCTGTTCCATGGGTTGATTGTTCTGTGTTGGAACTACAACTTGCAGCGTTCTCGACCAGCATGCTGGGAATTATAATCCCCACATGAGTAGAAGGCAGCTGTTCGAAAAAATCACTGATTTCCCAAAAGCTTTCAACCAAGCTGAGCTTTTCCTTACACCAAGTTTCTGACGAGCTCTACTCAGGAACGCCATTTTGAGCATAAGAGTTTCCTTTGTTTCCCTGGATTGTTTCTGTTTTTTATTTTATTTTATTTTATTTCATTTCATTATTTCATTTTATTTTATTTTATTTTATTTTATTTTATTTTAGAAACCAGGTTTCCCTCTCTCTCGTTATCATGACTCCTCCTGTCACTTTAATTAAAAATCTGTATCGTCAAATGACAAGAGCGATTTGTTTTCCCTTCCCTGGAGAAGGAAAATATGGCCAAAAGCTTGACAAAGGCCCAAACCAGAAAAATGGGAAATCTGAGACACGGAGACAGCCCTTTAGCCACCTATCCGTAACGGCCGTTGTTAGGAAACCCTTTTGTGTTATCCTGTGATCATGAAGGCAGAGTTCACAAAACATACTCAGCAACAAACCTGTCTCACGGCTGTAGCAGCCAAACTCACAAACACACTAAACTTCAAGCAACGATGCCCGGTTATGACTTGGCCTAATGTCAGTACTCAACCAAAACACCAAAAACAGTGGTGAAATCCGACCGGATCTATCCGGTTCGTGCGAACTGGTAGCACCAGCAGTGGGAGGCTCCACCCACAAGCTGGGATGTCATTATGTCCCGTTTTTGACCCTCTGTGCATGCGCTCACATTCCCGAACCAGTAGCAAAGGTAAGTGCATTTTTTTAAAAAAATTTGATTTATATGCCGCCCTTCTCCGGAGACTCAGGGCAGCTTACAATGCGCTAAGCAATAGCCTTCATCCTTTTGTATATTTATACAAAGTCGGCTTATTGCCCCCACAAACTGGGTCCTCAATTTACCTACCTTAGAAAGGATGGAAGGCTGAGTCAACCTTGAACCTGGCGAGATTCAAACCTGCAGTAATTTCAGACAGCTGGTCTTAATAACAGGGTGCTTTAGACCACTGTACTACCAAGGCTCACCGTTGACTAAACATCTCTAACATGGCATCTTCCAGATGAATTGGACTACAATCGTTCTTTTAGTAAACACGTAACAGAATAGAATAGGATAACAGAGTTGGAAGGGACCTTGGAGGTCTTCTAGTCCACCCCCCTGCTTAGGCAGGAAACCCTACACCACTAGAGACAAATGGTTATCCAACATCTTCTTAAAAACTTCCAGTGTTGGAGCATTTACAACCTCTGGAGGCAAGTTGTTCCACTGATTAATTGTTCTCACTGTCAGGAAATGTCTCCTTAGTTCTAAGTTGCTTCTCTCCTTGATTAGTTTCCATCCATTGCTTCTTCTCCCACCCTCAGATGCTTTGGAGAATAGCTTGACTCCCTCTTCTTTGGGGCAGCCCCTGAGATATTGGAAGACTGCTCTCATGTCTCCCCTGCTCCTTCTTTTCATTAAACTAAAAGAAAGTTATAACTAGCTTGCTAGTTATAGCACCAACTAGCACCATGATGCTGATGGTTGGGAATAATGGGAGCAGTAGTACTTCCAACTGGAAGAAAGCTACAATGGGCCAAGGCCTGCAAGTATGGTGAGAACAATCAACCAGTGGAACAGAAGTTGCCTTCAGAAGTTGTGGGAGCTTCATCGCTGGAAGCTTTTAAGAAGAGACTGGACTGCCATCTGTCAGAAATGGTGTAGGGTCTCCTGATTGGGCAGGGGGTTGGACTAGAAGACCTCCAAGGCCCCTTCCCACTCTGATGTTCCATGTTCTACTTTGACTTGGCGATTCTAATCCTTTTTGGACCAGTCTCTGGCTGTTCCCATTAACTCCTCTCATTCCTGATGCAGAATGCCAACGAAAAGAATCGGTAATCAAATTCAGGAGAGAAACAAGTGAGCAGCAAATAAATAATTCAGAATGATTGTGCAGGTTCCTCCTTTGACACGGAAAGCTGAGATGAATTTAATATATGGGAGAGAAGGGCTGCTGTGACTTGCTAAGGTGAATTCATGGTCAAGAGGCCTTGGGAGGACTCTTAAATCAAAATAGCCTCCCATCTACCTTTAGCTTTGCTTTTACCTAAGCCCTTGGGGTGACCCTCCGCAGATGGGAAGAGCCTTCTTTGGAAGGTTTTACCTTATCCTCAGTCCTAAAATATTTCTCAGGATATGTCATCTTCAAGAACGATTGATCCCAATGGAGCCTTTTACCTACAAAAAAATTATGTCAAGAAATGATAAGGGTGCCCAACCAAAGCTCTTACAGATATCAGAGGATAAGCACTCCTAGCTCCACTGTTAGTCATCTTAAACTTTATCAACCATATATTTTCTTCCTTCCTTCCTTCCTTCCTTCCTTCCTTCCTTTCTTTCTTTCTTTCTTTCTTCCTTTTTCTTTGTTCCTTCCTCCTTCCACCTTCCACCTTCTATCCTTCCTTCTTTCTTTTCTTCCTTCCTTCCTTCCTTTCTTTCTTCCTTCCTTCCTTCTTTCTTTCTTTCTTTCTTCCTTTTTCTTTGTTCCTTCCTCCTTCCACCTTCCACCTTCTATCCTTCCTTCTTTCTTTTCTTCCTTCCTTCCTTTCTTTCTTCCTTCCTTCCTTTTTATTTCTTCCTTGCCCCTTCCATCTTCCACCTTCTTTCCTTCCTTCCTTCCTTCCTTTTTATTTCCTTTCTTTCTTCCTTTTCATTTCTTCCTTCCTCCTTCCACCTTCTTTCCTTCCCTCCTTCCTTCCTTCCTTCCTTCTTTCTTTCTTTCTTCCTTTTTATTTCTCCCTTCCTCTTGCCTCCCTCCTTCCATCCATCCTTCCTTCCTTCCCCTATCCAGGCCTTCCCTACATTTAGTGGACTATTATCTTAGTGGACAATCACTTAAATATGAGCCAGCCTTGTGCAGCAGCTGCCAAAAAAGCCAACACAGTTCTAGGCTGCATAAACAGAGGGATAGAATCAAGATTACGTGAAGTGTTAATACCACTTTATAAGGCCTTGGTAAGGACACACTTGGAATCCTGTATCCAGTTTTGGTCGCCACGATGTAAAAAAGATGTTGGGACTCTAGAAAGAGTGCAGAGAAGAGCAACAAAGAGGATTAGAGGACTGGAGGATAAAACATATGAAGAACGGTTGCAGGAATTGGGTATGTCTAGTTTGATGAAAAGAAGGACTAGGGGAGACATGATAGAAGTCTTCCAATATCTCAGGGGCTGCCCCAAAGAAGAGGGAGTCAAGCTATTCTCCAAAGCACCTGAAGGCAGGACAAGAAGCAATGGGTGGAAACTCATCAAGAGGAAAAACATTTCACTATCCCCATTCCTTAATCCTTCCTTTCTTCCTTTCCTTCCTTCCTTCCTTTCCTTCCTTCCTTCTTTTTCTTTCTTCCTTCCTTCCTTTCTTTCTTTCCTTCCTTCCTTCCTTTCCTTCCTTCCTTCCTTTCTTCCTTTCCTTCCTTCCTTCCTTCCTTTCCTTCCTTCCTTCTTTTTCTTTCTTCCTTCCTTCCTTCCTTTCTTTCCTTCCTTCCTTCCTTTCCTTCCTTCCTTCCTTTTCTTCCTTCCTTCCTTCCTTGCTTCCTTACTTCCTTACTTACTTACTTACCGTACTTACTTACTTAATTTTTACGTTATTTGATCCAACCAATTACTTGTCTCTCTTCCAAGCCTTCCCTAGGCTTCCAGTGTCTTCATTTTGTCCAGATATATGACCTTAGTGTATTTTTAGCTGTTGCGTGTCACTCTGTGAAAGTTCTGGCTTGAACAGTGGCATATTCACTTTTAAGAAAAAAAGGTGAATAAACAAGTAACAGACAGGGCAGCCTTTGACCATTTACTTTCCTCTCTCTCTCTCTCCCTCTCTCTCTCCCTCTCTCTCTCTCTCTCTCTCTCTCTCTCTCTCTCTCTCTCTCTCTCTCAGAAATACTTCCTCACGTTTTTTTTCTTCCTCCAATGTTGAACTCAAAACAACTCTAAAAG